CCGTTACAGAATGATCAGATGACAGAAATCTAGAATTTTTTATATTTATCACGTTTTAATTTAAATAATAAATAATATGTCTATAATCTATTTTACTCTATTTTAATTCGTTAAATATTATTATTTACAGATAAAGTAGGTACCTACGCGTTATTTTATGTGTTTGGATATTGACCTGACCTATAAAATAATTAAAAAATTTTAATAATTTTAAAGAATTTTTTATATATTTATTTGACCTTTAAACGGTTACATAATAAATAATAATAACATGTATTTTCAAAAATTATTAAAACAGTAACTTTGAAAAACCATGTACCTACTTATTACATTTCCAATTTTATTTTACCTATTAAAGTAGTATTATAAAAATAAATATAAAATCCAACCTTCTATATAGGTAAATGTAACACTTATGTGAACGTCTTTCTCTTTATATATCCCAAAATGTATATTTTTTTGTTATACCGTGCTAATATATAAATATGCCACTGAATTATTATCAAATTGTAGAAAATATTATATATATAGTTATTAATGTGTTAAACATTATTATTTACAGTAAAGGAAAGTACGTATTATTTATTTATTTTTAATATATTGTAATTGTGTTTTTGTCACACTTACATGGAAAGTTTGGTTTTCGATAGCGGTTGAAGCGTTCGAAAGCGTCCTTTTTCCGTCCAGCGGGCGGTAAAGTGGGAATCCCTAATAGTGCTGGGCTGTAAAGTGGAACTCCCAAAAATTGCAGGGCGGTAAAGTGGAAATCCCCAAAATTGCAGGGGCGGACATATCGTCATAGGCGTGACAAAAAATAGTATGTGTAGGTTGCCTACGGCTCGTTCAGCACGCGTCGTCCGCGACTGAAATAGCTCACTTCCCGTACTTGCCACACAATATATTATAATAATGTTATTTTTCATTTAAACCGTATGACCAGACCTACATTATAATTTAAAAATGTTTGTGATTTTAATGAACTTCAAAAAAATTATAACTTTAATATGGTTTTAATTGGAAAATTTCAAGACTCTACATACATTTTTTTTAATTAAAAAAAAATATTTAATTAATTTGGCATACAAATTACGGGTGTTTCTATACTACTTTGTTTATTCTTAATATTTGGAAAAGTACTTAAGTTGAAGACTTACTATATTCCATTTAATGGAGTCGCTTTTCTTTGTTCTAGATAAACTCCGAAACTACTTATTCAATCGTCGTGCAGTTTTTTTTAATTAAAGAGAACATCACAGAGAAGGTTTAAGGCATACATTTAGTCCGATAACGTTAATAAACAATTAGTTAATATGAATTAAAATAAACGTATACATTTTTTTTTTTTAATTCATATGGCATATTATTATTAATTTGTGAAAAATTTTAAATAAACATATATAAAACTATAAACAAAAGAAAAAACTATAAACTATAAAAAAAAAAACTATAAACATAACATTTAAAAACAATAGAGTAACTGCAACACATCTCTTCCTCTAAAGATTACATTTTCACTGTTCTGTTCTAATTCGGTTTAGAGTGGTCCACATCGCACGTGGGAGTTCAAAACCTGGAACTCTCTGGGTTGGATCGTTGACGAGACGGCCATTTACGACATTTTCATATCTCCAAATTTTCTTCCACAAATCCTCCGGAACATTTGTTGTACTCTCAATAAGCCAAATAGGGTATCTAGATTTCAATCGTTTGAATGGCACATCATATATGTCGTTATGAACTGGGAGGTGTGTCGAGTTTTTAATTTGTTCTAGTATTTTTTTCGTTGCTGCATATCTGTGTATTTCTGGTGGGGCTATATTTGAAAGTACCGGGAGCCACTGCACCTTCGTTGACCAAACAAAACCTGATATTATTCTCATTGTATTATTTAATTCCACATCTACTTTTTTCGTGTGCGCACTCCTCCCCCATACTGGGGCACAGTATTCCGCTTCACTATACACCAAAGCCAGAGCAGAAGTGCGAAGGACATTTGCCCTGGACTCCCAGTTTGTTCCGGCCAGCTTACTGATAATATTGTTCCTAGTTTTTAGTTTGTTTTTTACTCCTTCTAAGTGCTGTTTGAAGGTTAAAGTCCTGTCTAACTTTATTCCCAAGTATTTCGGTGCGTCTTTTCCTTGTATGTTAACTCCCTGAGCCATTAAGTTTAGTTTTCTATCTGATTCTCTGTTTTTTAGGTGGAACGCAATGGAAGTAGTTTTGTTTGGGTTGATTGTTAGGTGCCATGACTTACAATATGTTTGTACTATGGATAGATCCTCATTCAGTATCTCTTCCAGTTTTTCAAACGACTCGGCTTGAGCTACTAAACCCACGTCATCTGCATACATAAATTTCCACGATATTGTGTTCAAGATATCAGATGTGTAAACATTAAACAATACTGGGGAGAGGACAGATCCTTGAGGGAGGCCGTTTTGGAGGTACTTGTACTTACTCTCTCTCTCCCGTATAGGAGCACTCTAAATTTCCGATCTGATAGTATAGAGTCGATAAGTCGTATAGACGTTTTACATTTCAGTATTTTCGCTAATTTTAATAGTAGGCCACGTTTCCAGACCGTATCATACGCACACGATAGGTCGAGAAAAACCGCCAATGCTTTTATTTTCTTCTGAAATCCGTTTTCTACATGCGTGACCATTGACAGAACCTGCTCACAACAGCTTCTTCCTGATCTGAAATCTGCCTGTTCCTTTGGTAGATTTACCTCAATTTGTTTTTGAATTCTTGTTGAGATTACTCTCTCGAATAATGTATATACTACTGATAATAATGATATCGGTCTATAACTCTTTGGGTCATTACCTGGTTTACCCGGTTTCAAAATTGCAATGATTCTCTAACCTAACTGATGAGAAGAAACCTGCTAACCAAACTTTACTTTTTAAACCTAGATATTTGAGAAATTCGGGTAAGATGCCATCTACGCCGGCAGTTTACCACTTTTAACGAGCTTCATTAAGTCCCAGTTTCCTAAGCAGGGGCCAGCTTTCCCTACTCGAGTGCGTGAAGTCCATTTCATCCATTTTCTCTAACCTTTTTTGGTTCTTCATCTAGTAGGTGGATAAGACTATTTGCTGTGACTTCGTTTCCATCTCTTTCATACTCCTGAAGTAATGATTCACATTGTTTCGTCCAGCAGGGTGTGTGACTGTGTCTATGTCCTCTGGATATCGATTTCTCGGCTGCTGTTTTGATAAGTTTAATAAACCTAACATAGTTTTCCGGTATAGGTTTAATTCAGTTAATATTATCTTCAACGTATTTTGTATACGCAGACCATTCAGCTTTACGCAGGTTCCATCTAGGCATAAAGGGTTTGTCTATGGTCGGTATTATAATTCCAACGTCCACGATAACAGGTAAGTGCCGGCTCGGCTCCTTGCGAAGGGACCCTGAACCTCTCGATTAACACTTAACGGTTGGCCATCTGAGTTCTCAGACACAAAACAAAGATCTGGAGATGTTTTTGTACCCCACCTACCCGATACAAATGTGCCACGCTGTTTGGCATCGTATATCAGTATTAGATG